AAATTTAGAAGTTAAACGAAACTTACCTGGAAGTTGAAGTTTGACTGGAATTCTATCCCATAAGATTAGTAACCAAGGACTGACAAGAAGAACGAACGCAGGCTCACCGGGAGTGACATCACATCATTATTTGAAAGCAACGCACAGTGACCAAGCATAAACAGAACCAACAAGCAATATCATCAGACTGACAACCCAGTAGGAGTGGGCGGGTGGGCTTGTTAGTCCTTGGTTACTAATCTTATGGGATAGAATTCCAGTCAAACTTCAACTTCCAGGTAAGTTTCGTTTAACTTCTAAATTCTATCCCATAAGTCGTAACCTACGGACTGACATGAAGTCTTCAAAGCATGCGAGGTCGCTGTGAGTATAAAAAATACCGACAATACAAACTTATGCAAATAAGTTTTATCTGAATGTTTAGAAATAAATAAATAAGTTTCCCTTATACACACTATCCAACCGCTTAAACACAACATTCTAATAAATATTACGTACGATAAGTGTATAATATCTACTCAATAACCCCTTTGTAATAGAAGCGCCTAAATGTGGTAGCATTACTCCAACCTGCTCTTTGCAGAATTTCATCTACTGGAAGATCTGCTGCATAGGCTGCTGTTGCAGCCGCGTGTCGTGTAGAATGTGGTTTGAATAAAGTAATGTCAATACCAACCGGCTAAGACAATTTTAATCCATCGAGCTAAAATTTGAGATCCAATAGCACGATGCGGTTTTATCGTTGCAACGAGTAAATTGACACTTTGTCGTAAATGTTTAGTCTTCTCAAGATACGCTTCTAAACATAAATATGGGCAAACATCAGGATCCAAATTGTATCTAGGAACAATAACAGGTGGAACTGAATAATTTGGTCTGCTTTGTTTGATATGCTTATCAAGAACAAACACAAATTGAACATCTGATTGTATCATGCAGCCATTGTTAATATTGAAGTGTATTAAAGTTTGCTTCCGCTGAATAGTCACCAAAGCCAATAACATTGGTAATTTGTGACTAAGCTCTTTAAGACGTAAACCACTGTTAGGGGTGAACGTTTTCAGATAAGCCAAAACTGTTTGGACATCCCAGATAGCATGATGCTTATTAGCAGGTGGTTTCCGTTCAAATGCCCCTTTTAGGAAACGACAAACTATTGGGTGCTTCCCCACTGGAAAGTTACCAATAGAAAGAAAACATGATAACGCTGATCTGGCACTGTTAATACTAGAATATGATAAATGCAATTGTGTGTACAAGAATTCCAAAACTTGATTTAAAGCAGGGGAATGTGCAAGAATTTTCCTTTCACGACAGAATAAATTCCATTTTTTAAGATAACTCGCATACTGTTTTTGTGTAGAAGTTCGCCATGAATCGAGGAGTACACCGGTAATGTGGTCAGAAAAGCCCTGGTTCTGCTAATGTTGCCGGACAAGGGACATGCCATCAACTTCAGTTTTCCTTGCATGCTGTGAACCTTGCCTAATGGGTGTCTCAATAAGTCCACTTGAGGGGTCCACAACAACAGCTTTGGCTGCTGAATGAGCATCTGTAGAAGAAGAGGGTACCATGTTTGTGTGGGCCATGCAGGGACCAGTAAAACCCCTTCGGCTTGGTCTCGAGAGATTTTCTCCAGACATTTCGGAATGAGACTAAAAGGAGGGAAAGCATAAAAATATTCATTCGCCCATGATACACTAAAAGCATCCACTATTGCAGCATGTGGATCCGGGTGCCAAGAGGCATACCGTGCTACCTGTCTGTTCAACAAAGATGCAAACAGATCAATACTAAACTTAGGGAATTTTTTGGAGAGTTTGTGAAAAATATCCGTATTAAGCTGCCATTCATGATCTGACAGATGTTTTCTAGAAAGTGAATCTGCAACTGCATTGCTGGGTCCTGGAATATAATTAGCAGTGACCCAGATATTGTGGGAAATGCACCACGCCCAAATCTTTCTGGCTACTGTATCACAAGCAGAAGATCTACATCCCCCCATGTGATTGATATAACTAACGGAAGTCATATTGTCTAACTCGAATTTAATGTGGACGTCAGACTTCTCCATACCAAATATTGTTAAACATATAAAAACAACATACAGTTCCCTTACATTAATATGTAGGGTACGCTGTTCACTTGTCCACAAACCCTGAGACTGTAACTGAGGATTAGTAGTACACGTTACGCCCCAGCCAAGATCACTAGCATCAGTCTGAAAGATATAGGAGATGACGGGATGACGTAGTCGCCTAGATGCATGCATTACATGTGTAGTCCACCACTGAAGCTCCTGCTTTGCTGCCTCAGAAAGGTGCATAAATGCCCGATAATTTCCATTATTCCGTGCAAGGGCGTTAATTTTATCGCGTTCAAGATTGCGATAGTGTAACCGACCAAACTCAACCCCAGGGAGGGCAGAGATAAGTGTACCAATAACACTAGCAACGAATTGAATTGTAAGTTTGTTGCCACGCAAAGCCTGTAAACAGAGATCTCGCAATTTGACCTTTTTCTCTAGGGGAAGTTTTACTATCATTAACAAACTATTTATTAAGAACCCCAAAATTAAGAGCTCTTGGGAGGGTATCAATGCACATTTGTCAGGGTGGACATGCAACCCGAGACTAATAAAAAGTCTGACACTATCCGATACATTAACTGCGCAATCCGAAAATTCCTGACCTTGAAAATAAAAGTCATCAATAAAACCACTGTTAATGTGTCCTTTTTGTCGAAGAGTAGCCAAAACTGGCTTCATGACTTTGGTGAAAATTCTGGGAGAACTAGTTAGCCCCATGGGCAGTACACAAAACTCATACAGTTGTTCATTCCAAACGAATTTGAGAAATTTCCGTTGTTCGTCTGCAATAGGAATAGTGTAATATGCATGCTTTAAATCAATAGAAGCCATATAGGCTCCTGGAGTAACAAGACTAAGAATTGCAGCAAGCGTATCCATTTTGAAATGTCTGTAAAGAACAGCCTGGTTACAGCGCTTAAAATTAAAAATCAATCGATATGAACCATCCGGTTTTGGTACTACAAAAATTGGAGATATACATTCTCCCGCAGCATGCATCGATTTTGATATGACTCCAAGCTGCAGTAGTTTATCTACTTCCTTACTAATAATATCATGTTGGTGGACATTAAAATGCTGATGCCCTGGAATGCTATATTTAGAAGGGTCATCAATGAACTCTATGTGACAATGCTCTATATTATCTAAAATCTCTGGGTCAGATGTGATCTCTGACCATTTAGAAACACAATTCTTAGTATTACCAGCCCTAAAACCTGGCTGCTCAGAAATAAGTGATTTAACATTAGTTAATAAGTCAACATACCAGTTGCGAGTGGGCTTTTGGTTGCTTGCCTTTCGCTCGTACTGGGGCACATTCTGAAAATTCTGGCGCTGATGAAAACCAGAACCAAACTGAGAACCGTGGCCACGCTGGCTTCTACCACGCATTGAACCGCCTCGAAAACCTCTCGTAGCATACGGGTGAAATCTCGGACCTCGTCCACGAAAACTGGTCGAGCCTTTACACACTTTGTGTTTGTTGAACTCGGCCATCTCTTTAACGCGTTTAGCAGTGTCGCCTCCAAAAAGAAATTCGTCAGCTGGACTCGTAGTACTACAAAGCCCCTTGGCAAATTCCGCTTTAAATTGAGGTCTGATAGCATCCCATCGTCGTTGATTGATCTCATAATTAGCAGTCATTGCCAGTGTGAGGCCATCTAAACAACTGTTTAGAATATCTTTGGACACATTAGCCGACAGCAAGGAATTAGTTGCTTCAAGCTGGCAATTAATAGAACCTAACAATGCAGCTTGTGTTGACTGAAATTTTCGGGTGTATTATGACGTTTGGCGATCGCTTTAGCTTGATCTTGGCTTACTCTTTGCAGTCGCAATTTATTAACCAAATCGCCAATTTTCTGACTAATTGCTGGCCCTTTAACATCAACGTTAAGATCTAATTGTTGCTCATATTGCAAAATTTCAGCTTCATTTGCATTGTCATTAGTGATGTCGGCACTAACACGGTCAACTTGTCCGCCTGATTGAATTAAACTATCATTGTCCGCCTGAATATCGACATTTTCTGGATTCTCAACATGGTCGTCAGTTGGCTGAGAATCTATTTCAACATCATCTTCCTGATATTGCTCAGTAAAGCTTGTAAAATTTTAGTTTAAGCGATTCAAACTCATTAAAATCGCGCGGTTCACTGCACTTTGATCAATACTTTCATCAATAGTGCTATCTAAGTCAAGATCGCTCACTGGCAGATCTATAGGCCTTGAACTTTGCTCTGCACATATGCTCACACTGGAGACATTGGCCTTCGACATGGTCTAGGAGAGAAACGTAAAAACTACATTACTATAGTATATTTTAAAAGACACACCTAGATTTCGTAATCGCTCCGACCATGTCCATATATATAATGAATGCCGTACAAGGTCATTCCAGGTAAAAATAAGCGGAATTCGTACAGAACACGCTGCACCTACACTGATATTTCATCCAAACTTATACTTACCTAACTCTCGTCGAAAACCAAAACTTGAACTGGAACTCGAAAATTGACGTCTACTCCCAATGGTTGATCCTTGTTCAATGATGTGATGTCACTCCCGGTGAGCCTGCGTTCGTTCTTCATGTCAGTCCGTAGGTTACGACTTATGGGATAGAATCCAAATTATAAACAACGACTCAATATGTTATTTTAATTCATATAATTATGAAAGTAGCCTCAAGGTATTTTAAAACTAACCTCTGTACACTTTCGTTCACAATGTAGCTGCTTCATTTCTTCAAATTTCGTGAGAATATTCGTCCAGTAACAATAATTCTTGTATATTTTGAGTTGATTTTGTATGAAAGTAGCAAAACGAGCTCGTGTTGATAAACAAAGTCTGAGGCTCTCTACTCCTTCAGAGTTGCAAATCCCGTTTCGCGGCGTTATAAAGCCATAATACTTCAAATTTTTTGCTCAAAATTCTTCTTGACTGTATGCTTCTATCGTTGTGATTGTAAAATTGGCCCGATCGGAAACGTAGCCAAGGCAAAAAACGCGAAAAACTACCGTCTGTAATACAAATTTATACAAAAGTGGGGCCCCAGAATCGGGTGGCGGCCGGTGACTTCCGGCTTCACTTTTGTGTACTATAGATGCGTTATCCAGTCTTATTTCAGATCAGTGGTCCTAGACTTGGTTCAACTCCGTCTCTCAAGGAGTTGAAAATAGCGATGCACGTGAGCGGTCAAAAAATTCGCGAAAATATGAGAGAAAAGTAGAAACGGACTTGGATACCCTGCAAGCGCGCCAAATTTTACCGTCGGATTTTTCCTACGGAGGCGTGGCTTGCCAGTTGAGAACAACAACAAATTTTCGCGTCAATTTTTGCAAGTAACATTCGAAATGCTGCAAGTGTCCCAAGTCCGTCTCTCCCTACTTTTCCCCTGAGACGGACTTGAACCAAGTCTAGAGTGGTCCATGCTGTAAAACGATCCGGAAAATAAATATTTTTACTTTGTTTACCTTCTGTTGTCTTTGTTGAGTAAAAAATCATCTATTGCAATGAAACTAAAAGCTTTTTATCCAGCTTTTATCGCGTAGTTTTAGCAGTTTGTCAGCCATGCTCGCACTAAAGTAACAAACGCAACTGATCTCAAATGTACTTCGCAACTGGAATTTTATTGGAATTTCGTAATAACAATAAACTTTCAAATAAAAAAATAAACACGTTACTTACCGTTTAGGTCGGTCCGTACTAAAAAATATTTTCCCTCGACCTCAGAAGCTTCTGAGACCTCGGGAAAATATTTTTTCAGTACGGACCTCGCATCCGGTACCCTGGTTCCAGAGGTTTATTTTTATTATTTTCATTGCGAAGGGGAGAGGAAAAATAAACCTTTGGTTGAAAGCGGCAATTGATTCATCGAGCCGCGCCAATCAGTTTGAATTAGGGTCAGATCCTGACTCTGTCTCCTGATTGGATGATTGTATTAAAGCTCTCTGATTGATTCAAATAAAACATCCATAACCAATCAGAGAGCTTTAATACAATCATCCAATCAGGAGACAGAGTCAGGATCTGACCCTAATTTAAACTGATTGGCGCGGCTCGATGAATCAATTGCCGCTTTCAACCAGAGGTTTATTTTAAACCTCTGGAACCAGGGTACGCATCCGGTAAATAACATATATATATATATATATATATATATATATATATATATATATATATATATATATATATATATATATATAGTACAATCTGCAGACATGCATGTTTCTGCGTTCAACGCCTCGTCAGTGCAGCTTGGTACACGTCTAGATAAGTGAGACAATGGTATTTATACCCCATGAACTTGCTATATATATATATATATATATATATATATATATATATATATATATATATATATATATATATATATATATATATATATATATATATATATATATATATAGATATATATATTAAGACGAAAATGTTCTAGAGTGTGTATTATATAATTTCCATACCCAGCGCAAGCAGAAAGATGTTGTCTGCCGCGGCTGGGTCTCGAACCCGCGACCTTCGAATTACTAGATCGACGCTCTACCTACTGAGCTACACGGTCAGATGGATTTAAGACTGGAAATTATGAAATATATACTGAATGTCATAAACATACTCGTTTATATTAATTCAGCATCGAACACTAGTATTGTTCGAGTAGTAATCGAACACTAGTAATTCGAAGGTCGCGGGTTCGAGACCCAGCCGCGGCAGACAACATCTTTCTGCTTGCGCTGGGTATGGAAATTATATAATACACACTCTAGAACATTTTCATCTTAACATATTACAGAGTGTACAATTACACAACTAACATGCATATATACAATTACACAACTAACATATATATATATATATATATATATATATATATATATATATATATATATATATATATATATATATATATATATATATATATATATATATATATATATATATATATATATATATATATATATATATATATATATGTGTGTGTTTAAAGATTTGTAATCCAGGCATATTACTGCAAAACTTTAATTAAGTAATGTACATATGTAATTTTAATCTCAGTATTCTGAAGAAGGCTCGAAGTACCGAGTCGAAAGCTCAATAAAAGTATATTTCAATCCGGAGAACTTTAATTAATTATATATATATATATATATATATATATATATATATATATATATATATATATATATATATATATATATATATATATATATATATATATATGTAATAATATTAATA